TAATGTAAATGTGTAAATTTTCAAGACGAAATACATTAAAATAAGGGATGTGAAAAGAAAATATTAGGCTTTAAGCACATGATACTATTCACCCTCAATGTCCAGAATTTGTTTTTTTACTGGTCGCAGTTCAAGGTATTTCATCCTAAGTTTTTACACATATCTACATTTCATCCTTGTATACTTGCATATTTTTTTAGATTTTTTTTAAACATGAAAGTTTGAATTTGAATTTTCCAAAAATTTCAGGCTCCATGGAGCCAGGTCACCAAAATGCTCCACTTCTTCCGCCTTTCTTTGGCACATATGACGTCCTTTAGTTCTAAGAAGGGGCCATTCCATTTCTGCCCTAACTCGAACCCACTACTCGCAATTATTCTTAATTTTCAGACCTACTTAGTTTTGCCTCTATTTCGTTGTGTGGTGTTATAGAAGTACCCATGAACGACATTTCCTTCATATCTTTCTTACTTACTAAGCTTCATGACATTCCTCTGTAGTCGTCGGTGCTTTCCGTTCTTTTGTAGTATCCGCAAGCATTTCCACTAATAGAGTTCCTGTTTTCAGGTGTTCATGTTTTCTGGGAGAATAAATATTTTCAAGGATGCTACAATAGAACAAAAAGCGCCGACAGTTACAGAGGAATATCACAAAGCTTAGAAAACAGAGAAGACCCAATGAAAAGGTCGCTGAGGGGTATTCCTATATCAACACATAATAAAACGGGGGCAAGACTGAGTAGGTCTAACAATTATATTAGCGATAAATCATAGCTGGCCAAACAGGCCGGCCCGGCCCGGCCCGGCACGGCCTGGCCCGCCGAGGCACGATTATTATACGGGCCGTGCCGTGCCAGCTCGCGTGCTGCAGCCTGCAGCCCAGGCACGACCCATATGCTAATCGGGCCGGCCAACCGGCCCGCTAGGCCCGCTAATCTGCCTCCTATTTTGCGCACTGAGCGTTTTTAGTCTATTTTTACCTGTTGGGCCACATTAGGATACATAAAAAAAATAAAAAAAGATAATCGGGCCGTGCCGTGCCGTGCTGGCCCGCGTGCTCGACCTTCCGGCCCAGGCACGGCCCCTGGCGTGCCGCGTGCCGGGCCTTGCCCGTTTAGCACGTGCCGTGCCGTGCCTGGCCCGTGCCGTGCCGGCCGTGCTACCGGGCCGGCCCAGCTATCCCGGCCCGTTTGGCCACCTATAGGTAGATGTGAGTAGTGGTTCGTATAAGGAGTAGAAATACACGTGTCCCTTCTAAAAAACTGCCTTGTTGTCCCAATTGTGTGTGTGTGTGTGTGTGGCTCCTTCATCCGAGACCTTGGTCCAGGCATCAACTAGGGAGCAGGCAAGCAGCAACACGAAGTTAATCCAAACTCCAATAGATCATTACTTCATTAGTTTACCAACCACAAGACCCAATTGTGCATATACAATTGTGTATGTATGCGTATATGTACACAATGGCATCCATGGAACCGGGCGGGATCAACCAGGTGCATGCATCCTATCCTGGGCGCGTACGCATACATTCATAGGGCATAGGGGCCGGCTAGCTGGTAGCAAGATCACTGGCCACTATGCTGAGGTTCATAGCTCGCCGGAGCAAACCCCAGCTCGTCGCACCGGCGCGGGCGACGCCCCGGGAGACCAAAGCCCTCTCTGGCCTGGATGACTGCGCCTACCTGAAACACTATGTCGGCGGCGCAGAGTTTTTCCGTCCGGTCCGCCGCGAGCACGAGCCGGCGACGGACCCCGCCAAGGCCATCAGGGCGGCCCTCGCGGAGGCCCTGGTCCACTACTACCCGCTCGCCGGCCGGCTGCGGGAGACGCCCGGAGGCAGGCTCGTGGTGGAATGCACCGGCGAAGGGGCCGTGTTCGTGGAGGCTGACGCCGACGTGCGCCTCGAGGAGTTTGGCCACCCGCCGCGGCCGCCCTTTCCGTGCCGGCAAGAGCTTCTGTGCGACGTCGATGAGCGCACCCCAGTCGTTGACAACCACTTGGTCTACATGCAGGTCAGGTGTTTGATAGTAATCACTAGCTAGTATGTATATTTGCTTGCATTTGCATAGTTACAAATGGTCTGGTTGTGTATTTACTTATTTCCTCGTGCAGTTGACGAGACTGAGATGCGGAGGCTTTGTTCTATCTGCCCACATGTGCCACAACGTGGTCGACGCCTTCGGCATGATCCAGTTCATCGGAGCCATCGCCAATCTAGCCCGCGGCGAGGCCCGTCCGACCGTCCTCCCCGTCTGGAGCAGGGAGAACATGTTCAAGCCACGCACGCCCCCTCGTGTCAGGCGTGATATCTTCCCAGGCTGCATTTCCGCATGAGGATGGCAATGGGTAGGGTATGGGACGGGTAGAGCAATACCATACCCATACCCATTTAGTTAATGGGTATAAAATTCTACCCATACCCGTACCCATGGGTATGAAACTTTACCCGTATCCATACCCGACGGGTACCCATACCCATTGGGTACCCAACGGGTAGATCAAATAGTACACGAGTTATTTGCAATTCTACATTCATTTATAGCACATTTTACAAAAAAATCATTGATCATAACTCAATAATAGATAGATGAGTACATGACAATTATCTCAATTCAAATTGACATTGGTGACAACTTTAACATAGGTTCATAAGCTCACAACATAAATTTAACATAGGTACACTTATGAATCGCAGGTAAGATTCACATGTCAATATAAAACGGGTAGGGTATGGGTATATCCATGGGTAAAAGGCTATACCCGTGCCCTACCTATGACTTAACGGGTAGGGTATGGATACTACTCGTGGGTACAAAATTGTGCCCATACCCTACCCATGCGGGTACGGTATCCGTGGATACCCGTACCCATGGGTAAAATTGCCATCCTTATTTCCGCAGGCGTCTCCACCGCCGACACGACGCCACCCGCAGACATAGTGACCCGGATCTTTCGCTTCGGCCCGAAAGAGATCGCCACTCTTAGAAGCTACGTGCCGGCGCACCTCGCACGGTCCTGCACCAGATTCGAGCTGCTCACTGCGTTCATGTGGAGGTGCCGCACCGTGGCGCTAGACTACGAGCCTGGGCCCAACGGACCGCCCGTGCGCCTCGTGTTTCGCATGAACACGCGGGGCAAGTACCCGCCGATCCCCATAGGGTATTACGGCAACACCGTCCTCCGCCCAATGGTGGAGGCCGGTGTTGATGATCTTTGTGGCAAGCCTCTCGGGCATGCTCTTGAGCTGGTGCGCAAGGCATGCAGGCTCAGCACGACGGAGGAGCACGTGAGGTCGACGGTGGACATGATCACCGCGCTGCGCGCGCACCGATACCTCGATGTGGATAGAGCTTTTCATGTGTGTGATATGACTCGCCTTGGAGAGGATGGAATTGACATGGGATGGGCCAAGAGGGTCGGTGGCGGTGTCGCCTACGTCCTAGACCAAATGAGCTACCACCTGGCTTTCAGGAATGAGGATGGTGAGGTGACCACCCTTGTGTCCTCCGACGCCTTGCTCAGGCCTACGCTGGAGAGGCTTGCAGAGGAGATACCCATGTGGATGACCAATGATGCAAAGAAGATTATACCCAGCTCCATGTGAAGCACTTTTCTACCAGAGCCGGTCTTTATACCATAATAATGATGTACTCCCTCCGTCCTAAAATAAGTGTCTTAACTTTGTACTAGCTCTAGTACAAAGTTGTAGTAAGCTTGAGACACTTATTTTGAGACGGATGGAGTATTAGATTCATCCACTTTCTTTAAAAAAAAATTATGCTAGCTACGAGCCTACGACCCACCCAATGTTTGGGGGCAACAACATTATTCTGGTCTATCTATTTTGGCTTTATTTAAACTTGGACTCAAAAGCACATGCTTTTTAATTTTATTCCTTGTGTATGCCATTGCCATCATCTGAGTAGTCTACCCATCTCGCCTCTTTACGTCGCCTCGAGTAGATATATACTTTCAAGTCTCTTATGATGTGCTTATTTTATGCACATTACAAGAGGTACATGCTGGAGGAGCAACAAAACTTTCCATGACGTACAAACTTATGCGCATATACCCTACTCATTTACCATTAGGTTCCAAATGTACAAACTTATATCAGGCATTGGCTCAGATATATGGGATCAAGCCGGCCATGCACTCTTACTTCAATTGAAATCTGAGCTGATGGGAATGGTCTTAACACTAAGAACTCTAAATCCTGGTGTGTGTGCACATGAGCGACAACAAAGGTCACAAAGCCAAAGCAAACTGAATTAAGATACAATCACGGACAGAAAAGCGTCATCGTCAGAAATTATAACTAGCATTGGCCCTGTTTGGATCCCAGGGCTAGAGCTACTTTGAGCTACTTGGGGCTGAACTAACTCTTGAAGTATCCAAACACATGGGCTAGTTTAAGTTAGATTGGAACTAACCCACCAAAAAAACTATCCCTATGAAGGGGTGCTAATTGGAGCTAGTTGTGGTGGGGCCCTAAAAATATTCTTTTTCTAGAGTCAAATGATTGGAAAAATTGCATTTATTTTCAAACTTACCCTCTCATCCAAAGGCTAGAGTTAGTTTAAGGTTAGTCTAGAGTTAGAAAATAACTCTAACTGTTAGAATAAATCCGAGGCATACCGTCGATTATCCGAGGACCAAGCAATCATACGAACACGACACCGAGATTTGTTAACGAGGTTCACCGATATGGCTACATCCCCGGGGCCTGACTACGGGCGCTCCTCCCCGTGCACCGTCACAATACCGCACACCGGCCACCCGGGCGCCGGTACACGCCGCCGGCTCCCCCTTGCGCGCCTGTGCTATTATGTTGGCATAGGTTACATCGTGTGTCTACCCCCGCTATATAAGAGAGGCCTAGGATACAAGTGTCCTACTTGGACACGGCTCCATATCCTATCTAAACACAATACAACTACAAGTCCAACTGTAATCTACCTTGTACACAATATTCGACACAACTCTAACAAACTCCACCTTGACGAATATTCTCCACCACCTTGAGTTCGTCCATGCGTCAAACTTCCATGTACATTGAACTTGAGTTTATCCCAGAGCACCGCTGCTACTCCAAAGACTCCATATGACTCCACCTGCAACTTGTAGTTCCTTCTTTTCTTGACCACGGTCAACACTCGAGCAAAATTAAGTTCCTTGTTACTCTAGCTTGTGCTCCCCAACTTCCAGAGTACCCGTCCAACGCCATCACACACTGATCGCTGACCCGCGTGAAAGTGAACAACTCACATATTGGGTGTCACACATAAGAGTTACCTGAACTCAACATCATCGCTCCTTTCTTGACCGCCTGTCTGAAACATGAAGAAATTTCACCATTGCTTGTAGTCACCCCGAGTCAAATTCGCAGTTGTCTCACCACATGTATGACCACCAGAGCTCTGGCCCGTCTCCATGTCCCGTGCGTACCACACGCCTCGCCGCTATTACCGCGTCGAGCCTCCACTGTCCCCGGTTGAGTCTCAAGGGTCGTGAACCCACACCACTCAACCCCCACTACAGAGTACCACCGATCATCACCGACCGATGACGAGTTTCACGCTTCCATCGGACCACTGGGCTCCAGTCCGAACTACGTGTCCCTCGCTTTGCCCGCCTGCTGAATAGGCTTCGGCCCCGTCGACTTACGCCGTAGCCCCTCAATCCAGCTCCACCTTCAACATGACTCCATGGTAGATGATCAATCCACCCCTCGCGCCCCGTCAACTTCAAGCTCCGTGTGTACATCACCTTGAATCAACCCCGCGCCATAGTCTTGTCGAAGCCACACAAGCACTCAGGCCCGTGCCGCGTGTTTCCACGCCCAGAAGTCGGTCACCATCGGCATCACGCTCCTACGCCGTCTTCGCCGATCCCACCACCGTCTTCTATACCAACCGACTCGCGTCGATCCGTCAGACTGCCTAGTCTGATCCAGCCGAACTTCCCATACTGCAACCATCTGCAACTCCTCACAGTCCGCATCCTTCGTCTGGCTTTACATCCCGCAACGCCTTCAAGCATTCACTATTGTGCCAACAATTTTTTCATCCTTGTCTGCCATAACCCAAGGTTTTCAGTTCCATTGAACTTCCCCACCTCAAACCTGATACCCGTTGGCGTCATGGTTCTTTGTACGACTAACCCGTGAAAAAATATCCGAGCACTTTTCCTGTGATACCCAAGTACACAAAGCGTATACTAGTAGCAAATCCAACGATAGCTTTGTGGTCTTCACGTTACGTCACTCTTTGGACACAATTTTCATGCTAGCTTTGCTTGCCGAGTCCTTGCCTTCCATCGATGGATGCTTTTCTTTTGGAGTCTGCCTTCGTTGCATGTACACGTCTCGGCCTCCAAGGACTCGGTCCCTGCTTTTTTTTTCTCCAAAACAAATACCGTTGCCTTTCCTTGGCTCAGCACAGTCCAGCGCATATGTGCCTTGCAGCGTTGCCCCACCAGCTTGCTCCAGCTGGGCCTTTCATAGGATCCGTCAACGTCTGGGCAACACCCACCACGCCACAGTACCCTGGGCCCGGCCCTATCTGGCCGCAGCCTCAACTGCCGCAACATGCGCCGGCGAACGCTCGCGCAATCGATCTAGCTGATCGACTGCCGCACGTCTCCGCTCACGCTGCCTTCCGCGCACGCGCCTTTTGTACGCTCGCCCAATCGATCCGTATCGATCGCCGCACGTCCCGCCTGTCGCTGATCCATCGAGCCCGTCGTCTTAGTCTGCTTTTTCCGATCACGCTGAGAACCACGCCAACCTGGTGCATCTCAGACTTGATCTTCCTCTAAATCAATGATCCGCAGCCTTCGAACGACCTAGCTCATGATACCACTTGTTAGAATAAATCCGAGGCATACCGTCGATTATCCGAGGACCAAGCAATCATACGAACACGACACCGAGATTTGTTAACGAGGTTCACCGATATGGCTACATCCCCGGGGGCCTGACTATGGGCGCTCCTCCCCGTGACACCGTCACAATACCGCACACCGGCCACCCGGGCGCCGGCACACGCCGCCGGCTCCCCCTTGCGCGCCTGTGCTGTTATGTTGGCATAGGTTATATTCGACACAACTCTAACAATTGTTACGCAATCCCGGGTCCGCTATCACCAGCGTTTTCGACCCACCTGCGTCAACCAGGCCCAACCGGAGAGCAACACCGACTTATAATAGGCCTTGGGCACTCTCCCCCCAAAAGACTAGCCTGTTAGAAGGGGACATTCCCGCCCTTATAAATCGTGTTATGTCTCTCCCCACAACCGATGTGGGACTAAACCCAACACTAACCTCTAACCAGGTTAGAGTATCCAAACAGGGCCATTGTTCGTGTCGCGGTCTTCAATCTTCACGGCGGTGGCAGCGGCAGTTGCACTTAAACAAATCAAGATTGATCCTCAACGGGTGGACTCGAGGAAGTAAATTATATTTCGGCATCCACTTGAGGCAATTGAGCACAAATTAAATCGAGGCCTGGCTTCAGATCTCATGCTCAGGACCAAGTAAAATAATGGCATCGGCCTCAGACCTCGCGCTGCCGCCGGTTTCCATGATGGTGGCGCAATGGCCGAGACCCTGCAAAGGGTGATGGGAGGAATTGGATCTCGTGCTCAAGACTAAAATGGAGATTTGAGATGGAGGTAATAGTATCAAGCCAACCATCAGCCCATTGCCACTGGCTGCTAGCATCGGTGGTTTCTACAACGGTGGTGCGATTGCTGAGACTGTGCACGTGGATCCTGCAACAACTGGATATGGGTGGAAATAAAATATATTTCGGCATCTATTCGAGACTAGCTTTAGATCTCGCGCTCGGGACTAAACTAAATAATGCACTGCCAGAAACTAGAAACTGAACTTTTTTCTCTCCAGCGGTGACCTATTTTCGTGTGGCCCAAAGCACCTCACAGGAATACGAATTTTCCTGGCGGGTTTACTACACAGCAATGGAAATAGTACTCCCTAGGTCGTAGTGACCTAAAACGTCTTATAAAAATTTACAGAGGGAGTATGTTTTACAGTAAGTTAAGATATAATCGCACCTGTGAGTTGGACAAGGCACTTTGAGTTGCTCCAGTTGGATAAGGCACACCAAAATGGTCAGACCAGCCCGCCAGCTCCGTTGCAGCTTATAAACAGATCAATAATCTTGGAAGAAAGAAAAACAGGTCAACAAATTTGGAAAGAGACCTAACAGGACGCATGCCTAAATATCCCTCCAGGAACGATAGTGAGGTCCCATGTTGCTAGTTTAGACGATATAATAATATGAAACCAATCGGGTCTGCCTGTTGGCAAATGTCTGTCTTTTCTCTTTTATAAAGTTACTCCCTCTGTCCCATAATATAAGAGCATTTTTTACACTACACTAGTGTAAAAAACGCTATTATATTATGGGACGGAGGAAGTATTTTTGAACCCTGGTCAGAACAAGTATGCATATGTTACCCTTTGTAATAGCTTACTTGGTGGAAGAAAAGACAAACACTCTTTCTCTGAAGCTTGAGTGTGCTCTACTGAAGTAAGCTAAGCTAATTCACTTGCTAATGACCAATGTATATGCCTACTTTC